ACACATTTTCCCGAAATTTGAGCAAATTTGGATCATTTTGAGCCGAGTTTTTTCTGTATATATTTGATCTACACCATACATTTTTCATCACAAAGCCAATCTTTCTGACGGAATTTTTTTTGCTTCTGGAGTCATCGTCACGTCTGTGAAGATTCAGAAGACACGAAAATTGATTGAATTTTAAAAATTTTATACAACGTTTTGTTGGAAACCCAACTACATTTAACCATAAAGTTTTTAATGATTGGACAAGTTTGAGCAAAGTTATGAACAAAACTATAGAGAAAACTATAGAAGTTTCTTTCGATTTTGGTGAAATTTTTGATCAAATTTTTCTCAAAGCAGAGGGAGCTAGATTAATCAAAGTAACATCCATGAGCATTGACAGGTATCTGGTAACGCTTCAACTATTTCTTGATTCCATTGGCCTAGAACGAGGATGGCTGCGATCGGAATAGTGGATCAACTCCTTTTTGGTGTCATCTTTTCAATTAAAGTCGTTTCCATCAAGATGGCGTTTAAAAGCCCCAAAAAGCCATTTATCCGAAAGGTCAAGGTCTGGAGAATACGCCGGGTGCAAAAAAATAGTTCAGTCAAACGACATGAATTTTTGGCTGGTCTTTCTAGTCACTAGCGATCTCTCACTGTTGTAAGTAAACCTTAGTATTTTCTCCTTGTTTCGATTTGACCACCAGATTTAATTTTTTAATTTTTTTTTCTAAAAAGGAATGATACAAAGCGGCAATTATAGTGGTATCTTCATTTAAAAGTTCCCAGTCTCCATTTCTTTGAAAAACCATTAAATACATAACAACCCCCTTTTCACATGAAATTTAGGTTTCGAGACGTCCAGAGCGAGCTCTTCTTTGTCAATCAACTGACCTCTCACATTCTCTCAGAATGTGAGCAAATTTGATCATTTTGAGCCGAGTTATAGCCAAACTCCACAACCATACCTTTTTTGCTCCGGTGAGCACATATCAAACCCTTTCAAAATTTTTTTACAGAAACTTGCTAGCATATTTTGACTTCATATTTTGACTTCATTTTTTGACTTCATATTTTGACTTCATTTTTTGACTTCATTTTTTGACTTCATTTTTTGACTTCATTTTTTGACTTCACAATTCAGTAAACATAATCCAGAACCCAAAAAAAAACCGGAATCCGGAATTTTGAATCCGGAAATCCGGATATCTGACATCCGGAATCCGGAAATCCGGATATCTGACATCCGGAATCCGGATATCAGTAACCGTGTATAATGGTCTCTGTGTATGGGGATCAGAATCTTAAAATTCTCCAAATTCAGGCCTTCAAAAGGTGATCGCAGTGCTTCGAAACCTCCAAAATCTCACTTTTTCAGAGTGGAATTAACTTTTGTGGATCGGCCAAAACGCACCTGGTATGTTTTCTGAGCCATTTTGGTGTGGTGGCTTAGAAAACTCAACTTGTAAAAGTTAGGCCACCGTGCTAGAATGACCTAGAAAACATACCAGGTAAATGCCAGGTCATTTCCAGCTTTAAAAAAGTGGTGGCCTAGAAAACTCAACTTGCAAATGTTAGGCCACCACCTAAAAATGAATTTCAAATACACACTATAGTCGACTATAATCGACTATAATCGATTATTAGTCGATTATTAGTCGATTATAAGTCGACTATAATCGACAAGTAATCGACTATATTCGATTATAGTCGATTATAGTCGACTGTAATCGACTCTAATAATCGACTAATAAAAAATCGACTTTCGTCGACTAAAGTACTATTCGATTTTTAAAAAGTCGACTGCGTCGATTTTCATGATCGACTAAAATCGTCGATTAATCGAGTCGACTCATCACTCTAGTTCTGTGTAATGTACCCCCAAACTGCTCTCTACCCCCTTGTCTTCCCGAATCGTTGTACCCTCTTAATTTTTTGCCTTTTCACATTTAAACCAGTTTTACATACTGGTTCAGGCTCTTTTTGAAAGATCCTGTTGGTAATGTTTCTGATTCAATTTGCTCAAAACATCTGATATTAATCATACGAGCCATCAAACTAAATGCACCAGCACAATGTTCTTTATAAAATGTGTTTTGTGTGTTCTGAGCAATCGGGGAATCCTGTCGATTTCCGCATTCTTCCTCATCAACTATTTCGAAAAAAAGATCATTAAAAAAATATGGTTTAGTGACACATAGATGATAAGGGTGTGGTTGTCATTAGGTGTTCTTCGATGTTCAAAACTAGCTTAATTGCACTCTCTTCTCTGCACTCGACAACATTCCAGCAATTGTTTCTTCGCGTGTTTCGGAGTCTCTCGCAACTGATCCATCATAAGTGTGTGCATTCTTTTTCTAACTCCTGCAACAAAAAAAACGAACGGCGGACACCCCGGGTTCATTAGTACAGTTGTCAATTTTCCTAGCTCACAATCCCTAGCTTCTTTTTGAAAGCGGAACTAGCTCTCATTCATTTTCTCTTGATGACTGATTAATGTACCGAGTAGCATGAAATCTGTGAAATACAAACATTATAGATAATCTCTCCCCCTCTCTGGCTTCTTCCTAATTTTTCAAACAAATCAGGTTGCGCAATTTGGCAAGAGAAAGACAAATAAAAGTGATACGTTTATTGACATATTGGAACTTTATTGACACGAAAACCGGTCAAAGCTACATGGGAATTACCAATTTAGGTGTGAACTGGTAAATAGAGAACGAACACTTACAAATATCCGGTTCAGATGCCAACAAAAAACAGAAGAACCTCACACACTTTTTGGCACATCATAACCCGATTATCATTTTGAAAGGGGGATTAGTCGGAGGGCCGTGAAACGTCCGGTGATTGTGGTAACAAAAAAAAGAGAAAGAAGAAGAAGACGGGCGAAGAATTACATGTT